TGTATTGTAAAGTTGTGTGAATTTTTCAATAAATTCTTTTGTCAAAACCACTTGCAATCTGATTCATAGCTGAGCGCCTTGCCGCCGGTTACAAATATTCATTTATTCCAGTGAAGGTCTGAGGAATTTCAGTACATGTATTTGTATTGTTGAAACTGTGCATTCTTTAATTTACCGTAAGTATTTGTAAATATTTGTACACTGAAATTTGTACACTGAAAGTCTGTGATTAAAGTGCCTTTAATTAAAAGCTATTGTGATATGTAATTGCCCTATTTCACTATGACGTCACATCAAAACAATCTATTGTTTAAACGCAAAGGATCATGATCGTCGGAGGGGGTCAAATCAACACAAATTCACCGAAAATTGTTCTAAACCCGTATCAATCCACGAAGAGAAGCAGAATAGCCAGCAAACGCTCAGAATATTTTTTAGTACATATTAACACATATTATATCTGAAAACCTGGCCATTTTAGATTAAACTGTTTCTCTAGGAGAAAAAATTTTGTTGAATTTTCTATTGGATTTGGCGATTCTATCCCCCTCATAAACAAGCAGTGACATCATAGTGAAATAGGGCAATCGTGATATGTAATTGAAAATCTTTTTGATTGAGCTTTATATTAATGGGAGACCATAAGATATCCAAAGACTACTATCCCTACCATAATGAACATCGTCATGCTCATTAGGTGTGACACCAACTGGCAGTGTACCATTCGTTTGGTTGCAGCCACAAATCCTGCAATCTGCCAGTTCCAGTACTTCTTGAAATTACTCAAAGGACAAAAACATCGACATTTAAGATTCCTGCTTGGGAACTTGTTTGGTCTCGACTCCAGCTCACATGGATGGCAGAGCCTCCCATACATGTCTCGTATTCCTGGTAAAACTCTTGCTTTGTGTCGGTTTAAAAATCTTTTCTCTCTGGCCTTTTTCCATGGTGGTAGGTGGTCAGAACTAAAATGATCAAACTCGTCATTATCTTTTGAGATTGAGTTACTTGCTCCGACATGCCAAATACGGCTGATCGTTGGAGCGACAATTTGAACAGTCTCATTGCGGTCATAAAATAACAACAGTCCTAGTTTCATTGGCCAGTCTTCTTCAGTATATGCAGATGCTTCCTTCTCAATAGTTTTAATATAGTTCCACGTTGTTACATTGAATGCATAGCATACACTCTCAACCACAGGTACTTGACTGACAACAAAGGTGTCTGGTTGATGTTCAACCAGGTTTTCACTACCCATTCCCTGTAAGGTACTAAATAGTGTCTCTGGGACAGTGTTTTTCACTTTTAAAGCATACCACATCACTTCCATGAAGTCAGGAGATAAAATAGCATCATCTTCAATGAAGAAAACATCACCTTTATATGTCTCGTTACTTTTGAGTTGAAAAGTGTCTATAGGAAAAAAAATATTAAATAATTATGAATCAGCCATCTGTTTAAATTTTCTGAGAGTCACTTTTTTGCAACTCAAATAACAACAACCCCTTGAAAATAATGATAAATAAATAAATAACCATTTATTTTACATCTGGATATCTGGATATATAGGGAGTTGCTGTGGTGCTGTATTAGCCTGAACTTTCACTTTTTAGTATCTGTATGGGTATTTATGATGGGGAACCATTTTTATGACACCAATACCTTTTTATGCTTATAATAATAACAGGGTTTGTGATGAGGCATCCACTGAATGTTCAAGGTCTATTCAAGGAGTATTCAAGGATTCAAAAATCATCTCTCAAGGAACATGTTCAGCTAACTAAGCAATGGTTTTACACAGTGTTTGCACATGGCAGATTTTCTACATATTTCCAGTACCCCTGATATTGTATTTTATCCATAGTTGTAGGCTGATTGAATTAGAAATATATCAAAAAATTTGACTTGATTTATTTCAGATACATGCAGTTAGTGATCGAAGCAGAAATTCAAGGAGTTGATTTTGCTAAAATTGTAAAATTCAAGAGCTCACTTTAAAAAGGTGAATTAAATTCAAGGAGATTTCAAAGAGTTTAAGGAGTAGCATGAAACACGTAATAAAAAGCAGATAATCATTTACTAGATTCATGCTTGGTTTATGGAGTCGACTACCTTAGCAACTGCAAACCAAGAATGGAATCTCACATCTCTTCAAATTTGAATCAACTTAGCTTTATCATGTAAAAAGTAGCAAATGTTTTTTCCAAAGTCCTCCTCCTCTGGATACAGGAAATTAGAATATCTCATTAACTTATTAATATATTAATTAAATTATATTAATTTGCACTTTTGCACTTTTTTGTTTTGATATAAGTTTATGTCAAGCAACACATTTCTCATAATATAGTAATTTGTGATGGACATAAATTTATGTCAATGAATAAAATTCAAAAGCATCTCAAACATACATATTGGGAAACAGCCATGATGTCATTGAGTTCATGAAACTGTACATCCCTAGTCACTTTTACTTTGAAATCCAACCAAATTGTCCAAAAATGGACAATTTTGTCATAAATAAGAGCAAAAGTAAAAACATAAATTTATTTTAAACTTGTTTAGAGGTTGAATTGCAATCAAGAACACCATTTGTGCTTCTATGATGACATAAATGACATGTCATGCATAAATGAAGGGATAACATGTTTTAAATGTTGAATAAATATTGCATCATTTTATGATCCATGAATTAATGAATGTTCATAAAATAATAATCAAAGTGATGTATTTTATGAATATAATAGATCTTGCATCTTCCATTATTGCCTATAGACTGGCCTTTAAGCAATTCCCAGAGCCTTTCAACTCAGAGGATAATAATGAAGTTCAGTTCTCAAGAGGTTAAGCTTCTTTTGTTTTGTCCTCTGAACTGGGCTGCATTTGGGAATATCCTGCAAGGGGTCTATAGTCACTTTTATCCTAGCTTCTGTGACTTGCACAACTCCCGATGCCTGCACATTTTTGTCATGTTTTGCTGGTGTCCACCAGAATTAGTAAATTTAGTAAATCAGATTTAGTAAATTTTGATTGATAGAATCCAAAACTTTGCATGTCAAAACGTTGTCCAAGTCAGAGAAAAAAGAAAACAGCCAACTTTGAAGATGCACCCTTCTTATGATTGTGTTCAATGTGTGAGTCTAACATGGAAATACATAAGGAATGCCTCAAATTCCACTGAGACAAAGTCTGATTTCTTTTGTATTTTCATGTCAGGGGTCCATTTAGGTTACCATGGTAGAGAGAATCTGTTCATCCATTGTTAGCTAGATCCGGTGTTAGATTAGAGATGTCGTTTCTTACCTTTTTCTTCAAAAACTTTAGTCATAACTCTCCACCAATGTGCCTTTAAAACATGTGGATTCCTTTCCTCCTTGTCATTGCCAAACGTCCACACAAGCTTCCGACAAAAGGTTATTTTTGCTAGTACTTTATAAGTCTCATTGATCTCATCCATTGTAGAATGTTTAGTTTGATGTAAAATAAAGAGACAAGGGGAAGTTGGTTGGACATTTCCAGAGGAAGCCATAGACTTCAAGGTCTTTTCTAAATACCGAGGTCTATAGGAACTAAAAACTACAATGGGTAAAAATGGAGGTTCAAAATTATCTGGCAGAGCTACCTCGAACGTCTCAGGCCATCGATTATTAGTTTGACGGAATAAAACAGGTAATGCAAGCCAGATTTGAATCAAGACTACGACAGTAAAAATAACGGTCTTCTTGAAGGACCGAATCCTGCATAAACTCCTGATCAAGAAAGCCCAGTTCATGTCGAACTAAACATGAACTATGATGCCACCTTGATTTGTAAAGCTCCAAAATCACCACAGGGAATGATAATCTCGCTGTATCACTGGGTAATTAAAACATAAATTCAAGTCTCGTTTGTTATGGTGGTTGGTTTGATTTATAGTTGAGTTATAAATGTGACGTGTCCATAAGATGGATGCTGCTGCCGTTCATGTCCAATTTGTTCCCTTCTTGAGTAAATTAAATGCTAAGTAAGACGTAGATCCTAAATCCAGCTTTTCTAGACGCAGAAGACATACGGATTTCAAAATACATTGGAAGACTTTTTCTTCTCAAATTCATAAGTTTTTTTTTGCGTGTGTAAAGAACTTACTAGTTCGACCCAGACTACACTACCACAGGTATCCCAATCAAAGTAGAGAATTTCGTCACAGGTATCCCACGTAGGTGTTGTGGCTATTCCCTAAAAACCTTTAATAAAATCGTCAAAATGTGAAATGAAGTAAAGACATTTTAGCTGATTTTTTTAAAAAAAGCATACGTTGTCCTGTGTGGTTAGATTTTGGATTTAATCTCGTACCCAGAGCCCACGAGAGTCTCTGGCTGTAATCGATTTTGAGTTGGCTTCCGGTCTGTGAATTTCGGACCGAAATCTTACGTAACTCAGTAGTGTTTGTGACTGTTTTTATGCATAGAGCATTTAGTTTTCGGTGTACGACTATGAAAAGCTCGCGGCACGAAACGTGATCGTGACACGGCTAAAAATAACGTCAAAAAAAAAATCAGCCAACCAAATTTTAGAAAACATGGCAAGGCACGTATACGGCTCCGAGCTTTTTACAATACGTCATACGAAGTGTCGTTATTGATTTAGTGCGAGCTTTTTGGTGTCAGAGATGGTCCGCTGCGCGTCATTCGATTGCGACCGGCCACCCCTCCTTTACATGTCTGACCGTGAACGAGGAGCCTCGGGCTAGCCTCTTTTCGTCATTTGGAGCTGAATCTTTTAGGATCTAGCCTTTAATTACTTTAATTGCCTAACAAAATAAACGGTGGTTACACACCAGCTTGGGATTTCTGTGGCCAAGCCTGACAGCAAAATGCTCTATTCAATAAGTGCCAGAGAAGTTGCCGAACACGAAAAAGAAAAAGAAAAGAAAAGAAAAGAGAAAAAAAAGAATAAATGAAAATAGTAGAAAAGAT